TTGGATCAGAACCATGGTATGTAAATTTCATTTTAATATCTGAATGATACAGTATTTTTCCGCATTTTAATCCTTTATCCAAGGGAGACACTTAAGTACGTGAGTACATGTGTATACATACGCATACATACATAACGCTCCAACTGCGGAACACTGTCCCTGCAGAGCAGTTACGTTGAGTCTGTATTTCTTGCAGGATGATGTGGGCAGCTGGAGCTGTTGCTGCCATGTCCAGTATTACTTTCCCAGCTGTAAGTGCACTGGTTTCACGAACTGCTGATGCTGACCAGCAGGGTAGGTTTTGTCCTAATACTTGAAATTCCAGTCAAAGAACACTGTGAAGACAGACGTGTCAGGGTGTTGTCGTAGTGCCAGCCACTCTGCCTGAGTCTTGGCACAGAGCAGCCCATGCACCTGAGCATAGGACACACAGTGTTAAAATCAAGTTACCTGGAGTTGTAATACATCTGCATCGAGCCCTTCTGGCACAGAGGGAAAACACTCAGCAGGTCCCACGAGTAGCAAAATATTTAATGAACTTAATATGCGATTTATTTTCCTCACTTTTGACAAGTTTGCTTAGTTATCCAGGTTGCGTACAGTGCTTTCTCTCCTGCATGGGACACTGACAGCAGGGATACTGTGTGTACATATACTGGTCTCTGAGTGTGGCACAGCAAGTACTACTCTGTGCCTATAAGGAGATGGAAAAACATCTTGGCTATAATGACAGTTTTTCTGTGCCCCGTGTTTACTGCTCCCCCTAGTGCAGCACCATTCAGGGAAGCTTTCCTGCTTGCAGGAGTTTGAAAGTGAAGTGAATAGAGTCTTACTGACCTGTTCATAATCCATTAAAAATAGTTAATTATATACATGTAAATACAGATGGCTAACAGTGTATTTTTACTTTTCCCAGGTGTTGTTCAAGGGATGATAACAGGAATTCGAGGACTGTGTAATGGTTTGGGACCAGCACTTTATGGTTTTATATTCTATATATTTCATGTTGAACTGAATGAACTCCCCATGCCTGAATCACCATCAGGAGGTAGTGTCATCACACAGTACCATTTACAACAGGTATTCTTCTTTTACTTCCTAATTGCTTTTTTTAGAATTAATAAGGAATTATGTGCTCACCAGTTCTGAGTGTGATGCTGTATTACATTTTGTTACACTTAACTGCAAATGAAGCATGTAGAAAGAGGTTCTTAAATCACCCGTGGGGAGGGTAGTTTCTAACTAAGTGGTATGGTTTAGTTTAACTTTCAAAGAGATACAGCTGGTAGCAACTAGACAACTGATGACCCTTGTGAAGAGAGTAGACTGAGGGAAGGATGGACTAAAACCAGCAGCAGCCCCCTCTTCTTGTCTCCCTGATGCTGTATTTACCTTTCACACGTTGTATGTTTTTGTTTTGTTGTCCTTCAGTCTTTTCACCAATCTTTTCACCAAGCTCTGTGTTGTGGGGTTTTTTAGTTCCTAATGGATAGTAATTTGTTGAGGAAACTCAGCAGCAAGAACTTGCACTAGAAAAGGAAGTTGCCAAGCATTACTAAGAACCATCTGCTCCTTCTCCTAAATCTTAGGATGTAACCTTCTTTCCACACGGAGACAAATACTGTATTGGCTAGCATAGCATGAAAAAGTTCTTTCTGCTCTGGAAACTTGGTTTTTCAGACACATGTTAACAGAGGACAGTTGCTAAAGGTTCATTAATACTTTGTGGTGTTTCTGTTGTTGTTTTCAGAATTCTATAATTCCCGGACCCCCGTTCTTATTTGGAGCGTGCTCTGTGCTGTTGGCACTACTTGTTGCCTTGTTTATTCCTGAACACACAAACCTAAACGTACGATCCAGCAACTGGAAGAAACACTGTGGCAGCCACGGCCATCCCCACAGTCCCCAGGCTCCTGGTGAAGCTAAAGAACCATTACTGCAAGATACAAACGTATGACAAAAATCCAGGAGGAGCTTTTAGACTTTTTTTTTTTCCTCATGAGCAGTTTGGGATACACATTCCAATTCCATCAAAAATGTAATTTCTTAAGGTAATCTTAAGAAGTATCTTTCTGCATGAAATTTTTAGGAATTAAGAAAAAAAACAGAAGTTTCTCCAAAGATGTTGCCATGAATTCATAATTTGCTTTTAAAACAAACTGTTACATACTTGTCTCTTGCCATGAAGTACTGTTACTACAAAACTTTACCTTCTAGTTCAGAGACAAAAAGAACATAGTCAAGGCATGAGCATGTGTCCTGTTTCCTTAAGGTGGTGAGCTTTAATTCTAGTCACGCTAAGTCTCAATGAGACATACTAGCATCCACGTGGACCCATTCATTTTAATGTTGTAAAATCTTGGGTCAGATGATTCAAAGCCTTAATGTAAATGTACTCAAGTAGGGAGAAGGTGAATTGGAATCATTTCTCTTAAAAGTCATATGGCAGGTTTTTTTTAAGTTTGTACTAATATAAAAAAATCACATGAGCACGCTTGCTGAGCAGTGAAAGTTATTTTTATGTAAGTGCATTTACTCTTTCTATTTTTGAATAAACGGTAGTATCAAGCATTTGTTGAAACATTAAGTGGGTGTTTTGAGCCTACAGATTTTAATACTGGCTCTAACACTCTGCTTTCCTGAGTACCGTTTATTATACCACTATATTTCTGATGTTTGCGTAATCATAAAGGACCTCAAAACTTGAATACAGACTGAAATATAAGCTGATAGCCTTGAATATGTCCGTGTGCTATATAGTGGCCTTTGAGGACTGTCACAATAACCCTTTTGCATTACAGAGCTAAAGTTTTAGTCCTAAATTTTCAGGACCCTTAGTACAGAAGAGAGCTTTATACAATTACTGATGTGAATTTCTCTAAAAGTGTATATTTTTGTGTCCAGTTGTATTATTTAAGTGTTCCTTTGTATAAATTTGTGTATAAAGTATTGTATAGGTTTAAAATGTTTTCATCTTGTGGTTATTGCTTAATGCTTTTTTACCTTTGAACATTCACCATGGTTGACCAAGAGCAGGAAAAAAAAAATGTAAATATACTGTTAATAAAGTTGAATATTTTAATGAATTTTTAAATAATTGTTCATGTCTCTTAAAACCTTAACTGAAGTTCTGTAGTGAATGTTTACTATATTTCAGCAGGTGGGGAAAAAAGGCCAGAGTACAGGTCCAGCCCTGTGTTTTGTCTGTTAGATCAGGCTGCTGTGAGTGTGTTGCTACTCTCGCTTTTGTTCGGCAGCACAGGCCGGCTGCAGCTGGCCGCTTGGTTCCTTGGGGAGCGAATGGAACAGGATTCTGATCGATACAGGCGACAAGAAACAGGTCAGTAACAAGGACAGTCAGCCCTTAGTACGCTGCAGTTTCTGCCTCCCCTATGCTGCAATGTTAAGTCTTCCCAGGCCCACTATGCTTTGTTTCATTTTAGATTTGAATAGCACTGGGAGATCTGGAAACCAATCACAACTCGCAGCTTCCTGTTTGAAAGCAGCTTGCGTATACTTCAAGAGATACAGACCAAATTCACATTAATTTACACTTACTAAAATTTAACTCGAAATAGCATAAGCACAGACCTTAGAAGGGGGTGGCTGCCACCTGGGGAGTGTAGGTACATCCTTGTGCTGGTCCAGTAGCACTGCCTTGCATGGGGAAGAACAAGCTAGGAAGGAAACTCCAGAAAAAGGTAAGGTGAATAAAACACTTCCATTCTGGCACTTACCTCATCTTGGCATTGGAGATGATGTTGGTTTAGTACTCTTAAAACACTACTAAGCAGAGTTTTTAATAAAAGCCATTTAATAATTCCCTTGAAACTTAACACATGACAAACAAGTGAATATACATTAACATGGTGCTGATTTATAAACAAATATACACATTTTGCACTGCAAAACAAACCACTTCCTTAAATATACAGTCCTCTGGCTGCGCTTAAATAACTAAGGTAAAAGGTATGAAATATCTTTAAAAAAAAAATATGTAAATAGTAATTTTAAAAAAGTATTTTCTATGTTACTTGTAACTTGCATGCTAGTTCTTTATTGAGACACCACATAAAAAACAGCACAGAATGTTCCATGATTCTAGCACATGAACCCAGGTGGAGAACAAGCTGAATAGAATCAGTCCACCTAAATTTGAGTGTTAGAGCATCTTGAATTTCTGTACAATGTTACAGATGTAAGGTATGAGTAGTAAAAATAAAATAGCTTTTAGATGTTGTGATACTTTCAACAGTTAACTGTTCAGATACTTCACCTTCTCATATTTTATGCATGAGGGTCTCTGGAATAGAATACTGCCAGATTAACTGAAAAGGTAGAGTGAGATTTTTTTATACCTTCAGTGAAATAACTTAATATCTTTAATATTAATTAGATTATTTGTAAGCCTATATGCAACCCAAGCTAGTTCTAAAATTTAGCAAGTTGTAAAAATTAAAACTGTGAGAGAAGATTAGTGAGGCAGTCATGCTAACTTACGAGCTTGACCGTTATTAAAATTGATGGCATCGCCCAGCTCCCCAGCACTTTTTGCATCATCCTTTCTCTGAAAGGAGTCCAGAAAAGTATTCCTAGAGAAATGTTCTCTCTCAGGGAATGCAGGAGTGTACAGCTCATCTATTACAGAGCCACACCTGTCCATTCCTAGAACAAAAAAAGCCAGCGTACTTAGGTAAGTGGTGAGTTTTTAGGAAGACTACAGAGTCTCCAATACACCAAGAGAAAAAACTGCAGTGTCCCAGTGACTCAACTACAGCCATGTTCCCACTAAGGCTGAGGCTGCTTAAAGCTTTATCTTCTCTGAATTGACTCACTATTCTGAAAAGTCATGCAAGTCAGTCACGATCTCTTTCTCAAAGGAAATAGATTCAGACTTAGAGGATGATGTCAGTTCATATTGATACCGTACTAATACATTATTGCAGGACATCCAACAATCCTCAAATGCTTAAAAGAGGACTCTTTAAGAAACCTGTCTACTATCCCGGAAAGTAAGCTGAGGATGGTGTTACAGCAGCTTTCAGTGATGGTTGGGCTTTTGTCGGCAAGTAGGGTTTCAGGTACTCTGTAGAACAGCAGAAACAAAATACCATTCATGGAACTGTAACTACTACTGCCCTTAAAGTACATTTCAAATCAGGTCTTGTTTTACTATTTCCGTACTTACCTGCGTTAAGTGTATTTTGACTAAGCCCTCGTAAAGGAATGCTGTCATCTTTTTTCTTGAAATACTTTGATTCCAGCCCCAAATTACCACCACTAGGAATAAAAAGGCTAATTACAATTTAAAACAAATGTCGTCAGTTGGCATGTTAACAAGAAGTGTGGATGCAGACTCACTGGGAAAATCTTAAATTGAAGCAGAACTACTGCATTCTATTAACTTTATCATTTAAGGTAAACCATCACTAAGTAGATTAAGAACAGTCTGGAACTAATTTTTTGACTGACCCATCACCTGATAGCCTTAGATCTGTCACCAGGAGGGTCATTTAACTGTTTGTTATCTACAGACCATGTTTGGTGACCAGTTAAGTCTGCCACAACTTAAAATAATCATTACCATGTTGATGGAGATAGGCAGATCACTGAACTAGCTTGGTATTAGAAATGTTTTGCTTAGTTCCAGACACACATAGAAGACAAATGGTTTTATTAAAAAAAATAATTAAAAACCCCACTAAAAATGCAATAGATGACACTTACTTCTCCTTATTTGCTGGATGACTAGTTGCAGCAGTCACTGCCTGATCATCTGAACTTCGAGTCATTTTAGAGAGCTGTGTGTTAAACTGAATCTGCAGAAACAGAAGCGTTGCAGGTTAAAGACAGTTACTCCAGATACAATGGTCACCTGTAAGCGTGCAGAGCGTGAACTTTTCAGGGATTAACCTTTCTATACCCTGCGTGGCACTTCTGTGACGCAAAGAACACAAGAGTAAGCACCCAAAACCCCTGCATTAGCTATTGCCCATAGCAATAATGTTCAAAAGAGAAAGTCTAAGAGTACTTACTATACAGTAAATATTTATGCATTTCCAGAAAAATTAAAACATTGAGCTTTGATATTTTATGCTATCACATTCTTAACCAAACAGACAAATCGGAGTGCCTGCCTTTGGTGCTGGACATGGTGGATTGACATTCTTGTTGTGTGCTGGTTCTGGCAAGTGCTGGAAGGCATACAGAGGAGAAATGGGATGATTGATTGCTGAGCTGGCAAAGGATGGTCGGTCAGGCTGTAAGTGAAATAAAATACATCTATAAAGGAGAGAAGCAATTCTTGAAGTAATTGTAGAGATTCGAAATGCCAAAAGTACAATTACCACAACAACAAAGCTAACGCTCATTTGAGTGTTCCTGATGGGAAGAAAAACATCACTTTTCCTAGACTCACATTGTTAAGGAAAACTTGTCACTTTTAAAAAAAAGTTAGATGAATTGAGCACTCTTTTAGTTAATAGTCCATAATAAGCTAGAAACCCTGTAATTATCTGTATATTAAATGTATCTGAGACCTCTTTGCATGAATATGCCCCTTTCACTACTGAGTAAGCAGCTCATCAATTGCTGTGTGAAAATAGACATCTGTACAAGAAGACAACAAAGAGTAAGAACCAACAAGCTGTGGTATTTAACAAAGATAGTAGGTACTGATTTTTAACCCTTCTTTTCATATTTCTAAATCTCACTAATAAGAGTATTCAAACAGTACCTTTTCTTTTTCAACCCACACAAAGATAATTAGTATATAAATTAACCTCACAACACAAAATGCTGCCTTTTTTTTTTACCCCTTTACCCTGCACTTCATCTTTTCCAAGCTAATTTTAGCATTGTTTTCTGTATTTTAATAAATGAAAGCTGAGAAAATTCTCACTCAGAAGGCCAGGGCATCAAGTAGCACCTAACAAGGTATCACGTTATTAAACAAACAAAACAACAACAAAAACCACACCCAGCCAAAACTACAGGGCTCAAAGAAGATGAAAGCACTGTTTTGGCTTTTTTCTGTTAAAGCCATACATTTCAGGAAATGACAACTACATCATAACCATGTTACTTATAGTTGTACCTTACCATGCCATGAGGTGAAATCCCAGTCCTAACACCACCGTGTGTGCTGGCAGGAGTCTCTAGCTTCTTGGACATCTGAATTTCATTCAGCTGTTTGTTTAACCATGTGATTACTGAAGAGAGGGGGAGGGGGGAAAAGGTCAAGCTCACTTCCTACCTCTTACAAGCTATTTAAGACTGCAAGTAGCCCTTCCTCAAAAAGAGTGACAGCTTGATAGGCTATCTCTCCTCCTTAAGCTCAAGCGTCACTAGAAGTCCTAGTCTCACGAAAAGCCTTTTTGTTCACGCTTCTCAAGCCCCGACATGCCATTCTGTTCCTTCCTCTAGTTAGCCCCACACATGCACACTACCCCAAGCAATTACGAGCCCCAGCTGCAAAGGAAGTCTTCTCTCCTTGCAGCTCTAGGTTGTTGCACACCCAGACAGCAGCTTATTTTCCATACACAACAATAATCACAGCTCTTCACAAAAAAGAACAAACCTGCACCACACACCACCACAGGTAAAGCAATATAGTTGCTTCTGTTAATGTTCAGCAGCAGCTAGATCACTAATGTCATTTCACAGAGGGAGAAACGAAGTTGTATAAACCTACCATTTTCATTGGTCTTCAGTAACTGCTTACTTTCTTCTAGTTTTTGTATTGTAGTTTCTAACTGTTCTTGTAGCTTGCAGACCTGCAATATTCCCATAATAACTATAACACCATCAGGAGCTACTACTAATTGCAAACTGAAGAAAAATTATAATATAAATAAATAAAAAGATCTATGAAGTCCTTCTAGAATTATATAGAGAAGTTTGAACTCAGTTTTTTACAAAAGCGGTACAATAATTCTTTTAAAATAAACCCTGCTTTTAGCTAGGGTTTCAACAAGATGACACACAGAAACCTTTCAGACCTTAATTTTTCTGTGATTAAATAATATAAGGTCTCTAAGCCGGGAAATATACTTAATGGAAGAAAAAGTTCACTCTGTTCCTGTTCTTGCCTCCTTCACCAACTTCCACAGGAACTTGCCCTCTAAAGCCTGTCAATTCATCCACTACATTGCTTTGTACTCAACACTACAGTTTTAGTTTTCTTCTGTATGGATAGATGGCTCTTACAAGTCAGTTAACGTAGAAAAAAAAGAAAAGTTGATTATGCATTTAAATCAATGTTTTAACTAAGTAAAAAGTGTACATTCTATTCCATGGAAACATTTAAGACCTTATTGCTGTGAATAAGTAAGTTAAGAACTACAAAAACCATCACACTACACACAATAGCATTTACAGGACAGAGTGTTAACCCATCACAGTACCTCCTGCTCTTTCATTCGAAGAGATTGTCCCATCTCCTGCAATTCTCTCTGCTCCTTTTGAAGTCTCTCTTCTTTTTCTGTCAATAGTTTTTCCTGTTGAATTGTTACTGTATTTTTCAATTTTAATTTACTCATTAGAGTTTTCAAATCTCCTTGTAACTTCTTGATAATTTCATTAGCCTATTAAAAAAAAAGTAAATCAGATATTCTAAAAATAAAGAAAACCTAAAAATAAAATAGACATTTCATAAGGATAATGGCATGTTCAAACAGACCTTAAGAAGTTCAGCTGACAGCGACTTAATTGTTGTCTCTAGTTTTTCAATATGACCTTGTTTTTTCTCTGTATTCTCTTCCAGTATTGCCTTTAAAGGAATATTAAAAATATTAGAGATATGTGATAGACATCACTTATGATTTCAAGTAGAACCTCAATAATTCTTTGAGAACTAATTCTTAAAAGAAATTCAGTCCTTGCTTTTCAGCCAAATTACACAGGATCTCAATTCATCCATTTTTTTGTTTACAAAACGTACCACAAACTCTACTCCAGTACCACCATATTAAAACAGTAGCAACCTTTGTAAAGCTGAATCCAGTATACTTTTGGTGCCATAATTTAGAATTTTTAACTACATTGGAACGCTTACTTGCTGCATTCATAAAAACTGGTCAGCTGCTAATCTAGAAACTGCAATTAAGAAAGTTCTACAGAGCCTTGGAGGAAATTATTTTGAAACTTGAAGGAACCTTTTGTTCTTGTGTGGCATCTAAAACTTCTTTTGTTCTAATAACTAGCTGATCTTTATCTTTGATCTCTTGTTCCAGAACAGCAACCCGTGTCTGTAGCTGATTAATGAGTTTCTCTTTTTCGTGACATTCAGCATCCAGAGTAGTGTTCTCCCGACGCAGTGACAGCACCTCCTGCTTTGCTCTTTGACATTCCTAGAATGTTGAGAAGGAAATTTATTTTATTTTATTTAAGATCTGTAATAGTAATTTAAATAGATATATCTAAATAGTAAGCCTAATGTGGAATGAAGAGGAACTGAAGAAACTTAATATGCCATATTTTCTATTACATGCATAGACAGGCAGTTTTAATGCTCTAAAAATACTAAGTTTGGTTATGGAAATTAATAAGCCATACATCTTCCATTCCAGAAAGCTTTGCTTTCAGTTCTCTGACTGTGGAGTCTCCTTTGTATTTCCTTTCTGTTAGATCTTTATTGATGACCTCAAGTTCTGAGAGTCTGCTCTGCAACTGCTGAATACTTTTCTGATGCAAATTTTCTAATTCCTTTTTCTGTTGTTCATGTTGTTGTTGGTACTGAGCCTGTGCCTATGAGAAGCAAAGAAACTAAGTAGTTATTCAATGAATCTGAAAATGTAGCCAAGAAACTATTCACATACAAGAATATTGTTCATTCTTTTCTGTTGTCATACCTGGAGAGCCCTCTCCTTTTCATTTGTCAGCTCCTGTGTGTGTTTGTTTGTTAGAGCTGTAGTGTATGATGTCCATTCGTTTTTCAGTTTGTCTAGTTCTCGGCTCTTCTCTGACAAGCTCTGTTTTAAGTTTGACAAAGCATACAGAGTTTTAAACATTTAAGCATTTCAGTCAATACTGAATGATTCTTTACTGTTACTTCTTAAAAAGGACATGAAATTATTAAGAAATCAAAATTTCAGCACCAGATACTAAAATACCTGTTCATTCTGTAAACAGGAAAGTAAGGCACTAAGAAGCTAAAGAGCACCTGACACTGTAGGTAAAATAATCTTCAGTTCCAAAGATATTTTCTTTGAACCACTACTTAAGAGTGAAAAATCAGTATGCTGATGTTCCCTACCCTTATAAAACAAAGTGCTCTGGGGGGGAGAGATCTACAGCAGCATCTTTTCCTCTTTTTTATTTATAATTCTGCATTCCAATTCAGCGAGCACATTCCAGTAACTCCAGCTGAAACTACAAAGATGAGGTAAACAAGTACTCCATTCCAAAAAAGCTCCATAATAGGAGTTTTAATGGAATCTTCTGTTTCATGATAGTCAAAAAAGTCACCTTGATAATTCTAGAATTTGACCCAAATCATCATTTTGAAACACAAATGTGAAGTCATTACTGGGTTGACAACAAAAATCAAAAAGTAGTAGAATAACACAAAGTCCAAGACTTCTGATTTATTTGTCATGGTTTCACAATTTTTCCAAATGTAAAGATTTTCAGCCATTCACAGAATATTATATAGAGTATATTTATCTTCATATTACCACATATCTAGTATATAATTTGTGTATGCATATACAGACGGACCTCTTTAAATTCTGGTTTATTACTGCAAGAAATAAAATTTATTCCCTGGTTGCACGGTTTACTCATTCTTAAGAAAAGCTACAGCAGAGTACTTTACTTTTCTTCTTTTCACGCACTCCCAAGTCAACTATCTTGGCTAAGTAGTGGCTAACCAACCACTTTAAGAAAAGGGCCATTTTCCACAGATTAAAAAAAGTACAACTTCAGGAAAGTTAAAAATTTACATTACCTGTTGAGTGCAGCTCAGTTGTCTGGTAAGATCCTCTTCGGTTTTTCTAAGCTTTTCTTCCAAGGTTGTTTTGTCTTCCTATGTACAAATTGACACCAAGTCAAATCCTTAGCTCCCAAAACACAAGTAGTATTTAGCTTCCGTTTTATACCCTGCTTAAGCAACCACAAACCTACTATATTTGTGGAAAATCACCTTATTAAATAAAATTCATATTGAATAAGATATAAATTTAAAAGACAAGGCATTAGCTCACAGGGTAAAAACCCTGAATTAAATTTTTACCAAATTTCTACAAGGAAATAGTATCTTATCTTAAAGACTTGTTTGCAAAGGAGTTGCATGAACAACAAAATCAATGGAAATACTGTAAATTTATGTTATTAAAACAGCTTATCAGGTGGCTACAAACATGACAGCACAGTAAATGAAGCTGAAACAGACAAAAAAACTATGAGACCATTAATTTCTCATTAAATAAAACTTAGCATGCTACCAACTGCATCAACATTACGATTTTAATTTGCTATTTATAGCTACTGGCCCTCGAAGCCCGTAAAACCTGAGGATTATACACCTACGCATGGTTTCCTAAACCCAACTGCAGAACAAAGAGACTGCAGGTTTACAGTATTTTACTTTTGCAGCTGATGCAGCCAGGAGCACAGGGCTATGAAGCACGAGACACCGCTGCATTCAGAAGCGTTTAACAGCCGCACACTACCTGCACTGCATGTGTAAAACCCCCATGTTCTGCCAGTTCAAATTACAGCGCTTGGCTGAACATACGCGTAATGTTTTCATTGCTAGAGTGACAGCAACAATTCTGTTTTATAACATGCACCCAAATAACTGCATGCAATGACATGTATGAGCTAAAATTAAAAAATAAACCAGAGCATACAATTTGGTACACGCTTCTGAAGTACTAAGACTAAAAAACACACATAAGTACCCATAGCATCAAGGCCTAGTTGCAGCTATGACAAACCTCCATTTTACCTTAAGGCACTTCAAACAGCTGGCTAAAAACTTCTTTATTTCTGCATCATTTCCTGGTAGGAATTTTAGAGAGAGATGGGTAAGATGTTTAAAAGGGTTGGTCTCCACTACATTTAAAGAGACAGGTGTGTGATCTAGAACAGATGCTGAAGAAACTAACTGCAGCAAAAACCTAGGGAAAATCAAAAATAATCAAACGTTTAGCATATTTCTTTTCCTGCAACTACCTGTAGATCCTACAAGTTGTTTACAAATAAAATATATTTTTACATGTGCAAGCAAAAGAATTATGAAATTCAATCTCTATGTTGTAGTTAATACTACAAACAATTATCAACTAAAATGCTTGTACCTCATAATAATAAATGTACAAAACTAACCAGTTTGTTTATTTGTAAGTTTTCAGAAGCCCATCTTAGATTTAGGAGTTCAAAACCAGGTAAGGTCTTTGTAACCGAATTCAAAAGGAAAAGAGACTCCTGACTTTTAGGTATCCTACAACCTAGTAAAATTTATAGCCCACAGTACATACTTCAGAAAACGGCCCAACTCCTGGAGTGGAGCTAGATACTCTGGACAGGGCTTTCCTCGGTACCCACACAAACAAAAATAACATATGAAAAGGCCACTACACAGGGAAGAGTGGACCTCAGGTCTCTCCCCTCACATCTTAATACCTGAACACTGAAATGAAAGAATAAAAAAATATTCCTTGTCAGAATACCTTGTAACTTTTGCCTTCTCCTGTGAAACAATGATTTACGCCTCAGTCCATCAAATTCAGATTAGCTCTCTAGCATTAAACTGATTAAAAAAAAGGACCAGTGCTGCAACCTTGTGCATCTGCTAGCTTGTGAAGCTTCCCAGCTTCAACTCGGATGGGGAGACTGCTACTAGACATCAATTCCGCTGCTCAGTCCTCCTGAGACTTAGGTTTTGTCAATAACATCCACTGACTGATGTTCAGATGCAACTAGAGGAAGGTTAAGTTATCCTGTTCTCTTCTCAGTCTGAGTGGCTGACAAGTATTTTAAGAACTGAACATGTACACACAGAGTAATACGGCACTCACTTATTACCCACCTTGGGATATCTTTGTTCTGTTCCTGAATGCATTGCTGAAGCAGATCTATAAATTTTTGTGGGAAAGCAGAGAAGTCTACCAAGAGGCCTTGCTGGGACTTTAAGCTGCATAAACAGATTGGAAGATAAATACATTAACAACATATAGAAGTGTAATTTATTTCCTATAAAATATTTTGTTTACGCTAGTAGAAAGGACTAATTCTGATCATGGCATTAAAGTTCACTAGCATAGAATCATAGAATCGTTAGGGCTGG